CGACCCGCTCTCCAACCACTCTAGACCACAATCGACCCCCAACCGGCTAACACCACTAGCCAAGTCCGTCACCATCCCGAAACTGCCTAACACCACTAGCCAATTCCGGGCACGGTCGGCCTCCCGCCGACTCAAAAAGAGCAAAAGGGAGGAAGGGTTCGAATGGCTTCCAAGCCCCGCCGCTCGAACACAACCCGACTAAGCAACAATCTCCTCCCGACCCGGCACACGAGGTCAGGACCCCGCCCCGACTTCCTCACAGCTCCGAGACCGGCGAGACCAGCAAGACCGGCGAGAGCAGGGGGAAAAAGACGAAGACCTGCGGCCACCCGACCCAGCCAGGAGAAAGAAAAATTGCCTCTGCTAGTGTTGAGATGAACAGCCGAGCCACCTCCAAGAACTGACGATGCGCCAACTGAGACCCAACCCATCAGGACTGCCGGCGGCCATCTCACAGAGCGTCTAGAAAACCCTAGCTCGCCCCTTTGGCTTGAGTCACCAAATCCGAGCATCTCAGTCTAAAATTGGAGGCGCAGCGGGAGGGCCATCCACCGGCGATGCCGGACGACTGTTGAAAGAGGCGCAAAACCGGCTAGATCGGAGCTACGCGCAAGATTTTCCGGGGAGGGGATGGAAGAGCGAGAGAGGAAAGTCTTTTTATATTGTTAATTCAAGCGGGTGTGGTGGTTACAATGCCAATATGCAACCTCGAGGTCACAAATTCGAACCCCATCAACATTTAATTTTTTATCGCCATGTCAGTAGAAAATTGTCCTGTCAGCAGCCACGTCAGTAGACAAGGCCCGAAATTGGCCATGTGCATCGACTTGCCAACAATAGTCAAAGTGGTGTATATATTTGTCAACTTTAAAAGTGGTACATATAATTGCAAACTAGCGCATAGCCCGTACGATGCACGGGATGGTATATTTTCCTGAAATGTTTAACGTGTGAAATATTAAAAATAATATAATTTATATATATGTAACAAAAATAAATGGATTGCAAAGAAGGGAAAAAAATATAAATTATTGAACACTTTCTTTGTGAAGTAAAATTTGTGAAGCTTTGATATATTTGATTATGAATAGAAAAGTATGAAATACTACCTGCGGACCGTTGAGATAGATGAGAAGATTTACTTAGAATATATAGAATAAATATTGAGATAATGATTTACCTTTTGCCTAGTATATATAAAATTAATATTGACATGATGTGGGAAAATTATGACGAATTATGACATAAATTCGTTTAGAAGTTAGTAGAAAATATTAAAAAATTAGATTTATTTTTTAAATCCTTACAGTAATTCGTACGCTCCTTTTCATACGCTTAATTTATCAAGTTTACACATACAAATCAAAATTAATGCAACTCAAAATATTATATAACAAATAAAATGAGATTTTTTATCTAACATTTAGTATATTGTCGGAAAATCTTTTATAAATCTTATTCTCTTTTTATGCACATAGATATTAAAGAATGAGTAAAAAAATTATCTAAATATGTTTAAAAGTATCTAATATTATATGTGTTAACAATGTTACAACCAAAAGACATTAAAAATACGTAGACTATTATATAACATATGTGAAAGTATTAAAATATTTTATATTATTATCGAAAAATGTGAAATTACCTCAATTCTGTCTAGACTATTTTATAAGAAAAATATATATACTTAAAGTTAGCATAGACACACATATATATATTCTTAAAGTTTTCCCAACTAACATGTTTAAAAGTATACTAGTGCGTGACCCGTGCGATGCACGGGAAAACAATATTTTGATTGTATTATAAATTGAATAAATAAATAACATTAATCATGATTTATCCATTATTTTAAATTAAACCGGGTTGGACACAGTCTGACCGGATGGACCGAGAACCGGTTTATAACCAGTCTAGTGCGCTTGAATAAAATATTTGCTATCGAATCTTCAACACCAGTCTGTTGGATTGGTAGGATCGATACGATTTTTTAAACAAATTTTGTTACATTAAAAATAATTTTAAATAAAATTACATATTTAAATAAAATAGAGATTTATAAATTGTTTATCAATTAATTTAAACATTTGAATTTATAAATTGTTTAGATATTTAAGTAACACTTTTTATTTAAATTAATTACAAAAAGTACTAAATAACTTGATCGTTTCGATGACATATATATATATATAAGTATTATGTATTAAAATTTGAACAACCACAAATGATTTAATAAAATAACTTGATCGTTTCGATGACGGTCCGGTTCTGAAAACCTTATATTTACTGTACATTAATTAAAAATATAATAAAATAATTATTTTGTTCACTTAAATAATAATAAAATGATATATAAATATTCATAAATCATTAATCATGTTGTCATAAAAGTATTGTTAATATGATTATTTAAAGTTTGGACTACATCACATTCACGTAATAAAGTATTTTTAATATTAAAATTTATATTTAAGTTCAATAATCGATTTGGTCTGATCAAACTGATACATAACTTAGTTACCTGGGACCAACTAAGTTGTTTCAAAGTTTTTTGACTATGGGACCAACTAAGTTGTTTCAAAGTTTTTTGACTATTTTAAATATCACCTAAAAGTAATTCAATCAACGTTGGCAGTACCCTAATTCAATCACTCGATTGATCCAAAGTAATTTCTTTATTTTCTTTAGATATAATATTTAATTTTATGAAATAAAATAATTTTATCTTTCATATGTCTACACCAAATAATAGTATATTAAGATTGTAAATTATATATCTAAAGATGAATTATTTATTTTTATTTTATGAATATTAATAAAAAATAAACATAATAATTTAAAAAAATCAAGATTAATTGATTGGGTATGCAATTTAAAGAATATTTTTAGCGTTCAATATATATATATATATATATATTAACATGATTGAATTTTTGGATTAGAATATATATATTTAAAATAATTTTATTATTAAAAGTAAAAAAAAAAGATGCCATAAAGATTACAACTTTGAAAAGTTTGTAAACATTAATTTAGGAACCATCCGATTTTAAATAATTTTATAATTTTTGAAAGCATCTAAAACCCATTAATTAAGGAACCATCTAATTTTTTAATAATGAATTAAAATTAAAATGTAAAATAAAGAAATTGCTGAAAATAGTATATAATGAATGCGGTTTGACTTTTCTTACTACTATTTATGGTAAATGTTAATTCTTATTATATATATATAGATACAATTTTATATATAAAAACACGTTTAAAGTTTACATATTTTACAAAAATTAGACTGCTCTCAGTTTATATAAAGTTTGTTGCTCTCATATTCGGATAACGTATTATGCATTTAATGAAAGCACCCTACGATACAAATTTATAAATATTAATTAAAATAATTTTCTAAATTATATAAAATTGAAATAACAAAGGTAAATATTACTTGTTCATCATGAAACAGTATATGAAATGCGTTACAGCTCTCCCATTCGTGATGGGTTTCAATAATGCGGGTGCTCTCAGACGCAAAAAAAGTTTGTTTCTTTTGTTAACGGAATCAAGTGTACTCCAGCCTGGAAGCATTATATTGTATATGCGATGAAAAGCCTAGAAGCATTGTATATGCGATGAAAAAGTATTCTCTGTATTTTTTTTTTTCTCTGAACTCGTGAATGATGAGTTGTAATGGTGGTAGTAAATATCATTTTATACAATTTTTTATTAACCAAAAGTGATAAGATAATTATGGATTGTATTTGGATAGATAGTAAGTCCAATGATTTTTGCAACGGACAATCAATTTCACATATTTTTTATTAACCAAAAGTGATAAGATAGTTATGGATTGTATTTGGATAAATAGTAAGTCCCATGACAATCAATTTCACATGCTTAATTAACGGAAATATCACCATTATTAAGGAGAATATCCATTTGCTTAATTAACGCAAATTTCATGCTAAATTAACGAAATATCCACTGCCTTTTCACGATTTTTCTTCCGATTTTAAAGTAGAATACATAAATAGAAAGTCAAAAGTCAACTCAATTATTTTTAGATTTCTAAAAAATGATTTTTACATCAACCTTTTTAGATATATATAGATTCCGAAAAGGTCATGATTTTATAAGCAATTAAGCCAAAATTAAAACAATGTCAAAATATTAGATGAGTCCCACAAATATATGTATTTAAATGCATTAACCAATGTGACATATGTTTGAATGGAGAGATGTTTAATTAAATGATGATGTGGACATTACGTGGATGAGATAGATTGTAATTTCTAATTGATGATTACATGAACGAAATCGAATGCGGATGTCCTTATGAAAGTGATAATTAATTAAAAATATGTGAATGAATGGATAATAAATTAAAGTTGACGCGATCTAGGAGAGAGATGTTTCATATTATTTAATTATATCGATAATATTGATTTATAGTGAAATTGAGATAAAGTGAGTAAAAAATTATCCATTCAAAACTAATTTTGATTAGTTTCAACTCCTTTCACCCCCTAAATCTTTCGATGATGAAGCACTTCAAGACCTTTTACATCTTTTATTTTGAGAGTAAGATATTCTTTCCATGGTTCATACATCAAACTTGAGCCAAAATTCCAACTTCTGGACCTTTTCTAACACTAATTTTGAGGCTTAAGATATTTATTTTTTCCATTGTTCAAAGTTCAAACTTGAACAAGAATTCAACATCCCTGCTGAATATAAGCTATTAAGTATTGTATAAAAGATCCCGAGTTTGAAGAATTGGGATTAAACAAAAATCCAGATTTTTACCATAACATCATGAAAGTACTAATATCAAATATCAAAATGCATTCTGGAAATGATCATTCTCAGATCAAAATTCACTTGGTCAAAACCACTGTTACAAACAGGTGAAACAGTATCTTTTTCCATATAAAAAAAAAATTGCAGACACCAAAGACAAGCGAACAGTAACAGCTCCAACAAAAAATCAACTCATGACTTCAAAACTAGATTATACCGGTGGCTACAGTTCCAAGATTCACATCCCTGTAAAGGCCTTCTTTCCTCGACCAGAAGAACCGGCTGGTATCACTTTAAGGACATTGAACCTCACAGTTTTTGACAATGGCCTGCAAAAGGTGATTTATTAGAGATCTAACAAAATCAGACTTCCAAATTGAGGAAAGTGAATAGATGGTTATTCAAACCCCTAAGGTTTAACTTTAAATAGAAAACTACATTCATGTCTCAAATGATCTAAACAAAGATAATCAGACGTCAAAATAGAATTGGTAGAGTTGAATGATAGTAACTTTGAGTGNAAAGAAACTAGCCTGCACTGGCCGATGATGACATGGTCGCCCTCTTTCACACGGAAGCAAGGGGATATGTGAGCTGGAATGTTTGAGTGTCTCTTTTCATACCTACAGAACAACAATAATAATCAATTGCAAATAGAACATCCTAAACATGCTATTTTGTAGCATCTCTAAAGGGGAATAATACCTTTGGTACTTTTTCACCCAATGGAGGTAGTTCCTCCTAACAATGATAGTCCTCATCATCTTAGCACTGTGACAGGTGCCAGCAAGGATACGACCTCTGATGGATACACTGCCAGTAAATGGGCATTTCTTATCAATGTAAGTACCTGCACAAAAATATAAAAAGGTGCGCATTCGGAATCATCAGTCTCTATAAAGTATGATAATTACAGGATATCAGTATTAGAGAACTTTTGATGTTAATTATCTTTCCCCGATTTCAAGACAGCATATACCATGGTAAATATGCAACATGATTTCTGTAGCCCAACCATTCTGAAAATTCCAATTAATTGACAAACCTCGTGTTATCCAAAAGTAGAAAAGAATAACAAAAATCAAAGTGTTGATGGCAAGTTCAAGAGGGGTTTAAGCAAAAAATTGTTGTGCCAACAAGTACAGGATTCCATTTGCAAAAAGGTTCCAGGAAGCAAATGGATATAAATACACACAACAAAATCTAAACTCTATTGTAGTAGTTCTGCTTCTTCACGGTAGTACACTTGCAACAAAATACAAAATGAAAACAGTAATTCAACACACATATGGTGAAAACTGATCTTTGAGAGTTCTCAAATAAAGCAAAGTAAATAAATAGAAATAACGGTAAAAGAGTGAAGAATTAGAAAAGGAAAATTTATCATGATGGGTAGCTTGTAACAGGGTGCTATAATACAATAATACTATTAACTCCACCAATAAAATTTAGCTTTGGATTAAATTGACACAGAAGTTCATCCATGATGATACGAAAGGGAGCATATGTAAAACTTTTCAGTCGATGGAAAATAGAATAGTTAAAATGCAACGATTATCATAAAATAGGTCTCATTTACCAAGTAGTGAAGGTAAAACTAACAATCCCACTAGCCAGATAGGTACAAAAGAAGCTCAAATGTAAGCAAGAGCCAATTACATCTAACTTAAACTAGCCAGTGAATTGAATTCTCAAATCAATAGTTCGTTCAAAGATAGAACTAGACAGCCCAAATTAAAAGATATGCAAACACGTGCAATATAAACAACACATTTCACATCTCAAAGAAGGTGATGGAGAGAATCATTTACAAATATCAACACGTATTTCGACAAACCATAACATAAAACTTACAAAAAGAAAATTATATCAACCAAATCACCCATCATAGCAAAACCAATATAGGACATCAATAAACACACGAGAGACAAGTTACAAGGACATAGCATCACCATCAAACAATAACAACACAGACGCCCAACTCACACAACGAAATGGATAATCAGTCCAAAAAAGAACCCCGCACACGCACAAAACGATTACATGCCCACACCTTCAATCGCCTCGCGTGGGGTTTTGAATCCCAACCCAATGCTCTTCCAGTAGCGGTTGCCGCCTTTCCCCGGCGCTTTACCCTTCCCTGACTTCTTCGAGCTGCAAAACCCAAATTTCTCATCTCAAGACGATTATATTTACTCGAATCGAGCCATGCATAAATCAATGGTGTTAAATCTTACCAGAGAAACACCTTTGGCTGCTTGAGAAACGCTTTCTCCGTCTGCAACTCAAAAAAGGACCGCAACAAGTTATACAGTTAATAGATCGAATTAGAGTTTGCAAATGCGATAAAGGCTAAAGATTCACCTGTTCCGCCATGACTGTGGCTGTGAAGCACGGGTGACTGCTTGACAATATAGTTGTTCGGTATTTGCACCGAAAACCCTAATTCCCTACTATTATGCCCTCGAGGCCTGGGAGGGAATTGGGCCACCACCGGCCAGTCAGGTCCAATGTTTTAAGAAAATTACGCCGGGCCTTTTCGTTTTGTTTTTCAATTCTATCAAAGGAAATTCTTTAAAAAGAATTTCAACTTAATCAATATTGGTCCAAATATATATATATATATATATTTTTTTTTTCAACGGCAAAAAACTTCAATAAAACCTCAAAAAAAATACAATACGAGCAACCAACTAGTTGCTAACAATATACAGGACACATCCAAACAAGGACCCCTTTACCACCCAACAAGCTAGCAAAGCTCAAAAGGAGAACTATTACAAGCCACAGCAACACCAAAACCAAAACAACAAAAAGAATCCAACAGCGAATACACATCTTCTGCAATAATATTATGATGATACAAGAATTACCTGACGTTAGTCAGAGGACACGTGGCGACGATCGATGCTCCGACGTCCTACTGAAGTCGGATCCTTTGCTCCGATGCATGCAAAACAGAACCTCGGGGTTGTCCCCAGGGGTAGACCCTCCGATGCCTAAGTTAGAATAGGTGTTAGGTTTTTCAGATGGTGGCTGTAAATTGCGTAGAGAAGAGAATATCCTTTACCTTGACCTAGGCCATCCTTTTATAGAGGTAGGATGACCTAGGTCTTCCCTATGCAGACGGAGGACTTCCCAGCCTATTGACTTAGTGGGCTATGGTCCACCAGTTGGGCCATATTTAGACATTTGACCTAAAGTGAGACTTCTCAGGCGTTTGGGCCTAAGATGAGACTCCTCGGGTCCTTAGGCCTATCTTGAGGTTGGGCTTCAGCCTTGACCTTGGACAATAACGGTCTCTGGAGTACACATGTCTTTATTCTCCCGAGCCATTTGTCGCCTAATAAATGTATATTTTTTCCCCATATCACTTACCCCCCATTTTATGTACGCAGTAATTTTTACGCGTACAGAAAATAAGCGGTCAGACATTTACAGATGAATATCTGCATTGAGCGACTTTCTAGTACAGTTACACAGACAGACAGTCAAGCAGGTTGCTATAAAATGCCTCATTCTCATTTCTCTTCTCACTTTTAACTTGATCTTTTCTAGAGAGAGAGATAAAGAGAGAAAGAGGGAGAGGGAATCAAGCACTTGGGATTGCATCAATTTTTCACGCTCGACGTCGGCCTTCGAAAGTCCTCAGACCCTGGTAATTTTTTCTTACCATGTTACTGTTTCTTCATGTCTTTGGTGCTAGTTATCATTCACCGACGTCAGTAGCGTTGATATTTACCTCGGTAGTCCGAGGATTAATTTTTTGAACACCTTGGTAGGCCAAGGAGCTTCTTCGTAGACCTCGGTAGTCCGAGGACTAATTTTTTGAACACCTCAGTAGGCCGAGGAGCTTCTTCGTAGACCTCGATAGTCCGAGGAATAATTTTTTTGAACACCTCGGTAGGCCGAGGAGCTTCTTCGTAGACCTCGGTAGTCCGAGGACTAATTTTTCTTAACACCTCGGTAGCCCGAGGAGTTTCTTCGTAGACCTCGGTAGTCCGAGGATTAATTTTTTGAACCCCTCGGTAGGACGAAGAGTTTACTTGTGGACCTCGGTAGTCCGAGGACTAATTTTTTGAACCCCTCGGTAGGCCGAAGAGCTTACTTGTAGACCTCGGTAGTCCGAGAACTAATTTCTTGGACCCCTCGGTAGGCCGAAGAGCTTACTTGTAGACCTCGGTAGTCCGAGGACTAATTTCTTGAACCCCTCGGTAGGCCGAAGAGTTTACTTGTAGACCTCGGTAGTCCGAGGACTAATTTTTTTTTAACACTTCAAGACATCTTAGGAGACACCTTGAGACTTGGGAGCTCTTTTGGAGACCTTGGGACCTTGGAAAGTTGGGACCTTGGAATATTATAAAAAATGCCTCAGACCTTGGGTAGGAAGAAGTGGCCTTGGTGCATTTGTCCAATTCCTTATTTGCTGAACATTTTTTTTTTTTCCGCCCATCACGTGGGCTGTGAGGATGATGGAAAAGCTTCAGCTTTTGCANATTTTTTTTTTTTTTTTTTTTTTATTTATTTATTTAGCCACCCACGTGGCCTTGGGAATGAATAAGCAAGGTACCAATTGGCAGGTTGCCAATTTCCAAAGTCCTAATTTTTATCCTTTCTCCTCTTTTACTTAACTGTAGCCATAGGACTGGCAGATAATTAACCTCTACCTATGGTTGTGTCCACAGTCTATATTTTTCTCTTGACCAAGGATTACCTTCCCCGTCTTTAAATTCTTGCCCCTTTATTCTCCCCAGTCAACTACTATCAACCAAAGTTTGCCCCTTTTTATTTTACTTGTTCAAAGGCTTTGGAGAGCTAACAAGGGCCTTTGAAAGAGCTGCTACGGATTTTTCTAAGGTGTCTTTTATTCCACCTTATCAGGTAACTAACAACCTTTGTATTTTCAATTTTGCTAGAGATAACAGTCAATAATCCAAAGGAGAAGTGCTTAGTGAATGACACTTTGGCTTATGTAGTCCTTGGCTCATGTAGTCCAATGATACTAACAACCTTTCCCCCGCTTTTAATAATAAAAAGTTTAACATACCTTTTTATTTTGATTTTATTCACCGCTAAGGTCCAAAGGTCCAAACGATATCACGAGGACTCCTTTGGCATCTCGTCTCATTTTTCTTGTGTGTTCCACGCGTTCTCTTATGTCCTTGGGTGCATTTTCAGGTCTGAAAATGTCCATGGACTTCAATGAGTCTAGTGATGACGAAATCCTAGCCCGACGACTCCACAGACGTGGCCACAAAGCTAACTTTTATATTGATGGGGCCATGTCCAAACTTGTAGAAGATGACATTCGTAGGTTCTATGCCAAACGTTACATTCTTGACACTTGGAATTTCTATATTCCAGAGCCCGAGGAAGGAAGTTTTGGCGAAGCTCCTCCCGGATAGCTTTGTCTTTACGAAGACATGTTCAAATGCGGTTTACGGTTCCCTCTACACCCGACCATCATTTGAGATCTTAAATTTTTACAACATTTCTCCCGCTCAGCTAACTCCTAATGCTTGGATGATTATTGTGGGGTTTGTCCTCCTCGGGGCTACAGTACCCATGCCCACGAATGCTAGAGTCTTCAGTTCTATTTACTGCCTCCAAAATCACCCTAATTCCGAAGGTCTCTTTTACGTTGTGTCGAGGTCATGTTCTAAACCCCTGGTAGAAACTTCCAAAGACACGAAATATTGCAAGTCCAAGTACTTCTATGTTTATTCGGGTGATCCTTGGAACTTCCCCTCTGACTGGAGCGACGAGGTTTGTCGGCCCGTTGAGTCCGAGCTCTCCAATGACGAGGAAAAGGCTAAGTTGGCTATTTTGCTCAGAGGTCCAGCGAGTTTAGCCTTTTTACTAAAAGAGAAGAACCTGATTGCGGCTCGCTTGAGCCATGCTCCACTGACTAAAATAGTCGACCTTAGTACGAACAAACCGTAGTCTTTAATAAGTATTGCATGCACTCTTATTTTTTGTATCTTGATTTTTACTCGTTTCTTTCGTTCTTTTCTTGGGTATGGAGGTGAACAAAGCCAAGAGGATCAAGATCAATGTGAACAGGAGCAAGGTCGTGGCTGATGCCACCCAGAGGTTGGAGTCAGGAGTTCCCCCGAGAAAGGTGCTACGACCTTGTATTTCGAGGCCTCCTCCTCCCTGGATATCTCCATTCTCTGAGGTTGACATGGTCGCTGGCGAGGGCAGCGGAACCGGAGGTCCCCAGATGCTTATCGAAGGAGGCCTTGACCAGGTCTATCATCCATCGGATAAGTTCATTCCGGAGTGGGATGTCGGTGTCAATGACAGTCTGTTGGATCGCGACACTGCTGTGAAGATGATGAGCCACCTTTTACCCCGTGGAGATAGGGAGGGTCTTCAGGTCCCAACGTCTGAGGGGCTGTCTGATGACGGCTATGAGTACTTAGCCAAGGTAACTAAAATTTCCATTGTTCTTATGTTGCCTCCAAAATTTTACTAAGTTTTTTCTGTCTTTCAGCTCCTTCGCACTCACCAGGGCATGGTGGACAAGATTGCCTATGGGAGCCGGAGGATTCTTGAGATGAGGGACCTGCTCCAGCGTAGCGAGGCCCTTCAGGCGAAGGCTGAAGAGAAAAGCGAACGACATCATACGGAGGTGACGCGCTTAAGGGCTCTCGTCGAAAAGCTCGATCTGAGGATTAAGGGTATGGACTCGAGCCTGGACGAGGCTAACAAGAAGGCGGAGGACGTAAGTAAGAAGGCTGAGAACGCTGCTGAGACGAACTCGGACTATTGGCTCGACGGGTTTGATGCTTGTAGGCAGCTGGTTGGCACCCTTGACCCCTCATTTGATCTTACCCGCCTTGTTCCTGAGTCTGTTGATCCCCTAACAGGTGAAGAGGACGTCGACCCCTCAGCTGCTGGAGGTGTTTGATTGTCGTTTATTTTAGGACATTTCTTTGCCTTGTTGTCACCTCCGCACTTGTTGTTTCCTTTCGTCATTTCCGAACTTGTGTATAGATAAATAAATAATGTGTGTATTTCATTGACTAAATATGTATCTGCATTATTATTATTATTATTATTATTATTATTATTATTGTTATTATTATTATTATTATTATTATTATTATTATTATTATCATTATTATTATTATTATTACTATTATTATTATTATTATTGTTATTATAATTATTAACTAAGTATTATGTGTATTATGTATTAGCCGGTTTCAATTTATTTTTCGCCATGTCAAACCGAGCCTCGAATAATTTTTGAGTTGAGCCCGAGAGAACCGGTCGACTTCGATTATTTTTCCGTAGCCATTTTGAGACCATTTTCTCTAGCCCATTTGATAAATATTTTGGCCAAGCCCAAAACAGATATAATTTTCCATTCCTTTTTCTTTTATCAGTCGCGATCAAAACAGATAAATTTTTATCTGTTCGTTTTATTTAGCCAGATCGAGTCCAATTTTTATCTGTTTGTTTTATCTGTTCGGTTTACATCGCGAGACCCAGTCCAAATTATCTAATCATTTGAATTCACGATCGAGTCTTACGGGA